CTTTGCATGGTGTCTCCATGGTCTGTGTATATGGTGTGGACAGTGCAGGGGCGGTGGTGCAGCAGGGCTGGCGTGGGGGGGTCCGCACTGGCGGCCGAGTCTCCCTTTCCTGTCAGAACGCCCCAAAACGAGCTGGAAATAAAACATGAGTTTTAAATCCAAGCGGGTCTCAGTGCACAGGTTTGCCCCGGGTTAAGCGTGGATGTGTGCTGAGGGAGTTTCTTCTCAAAACCTGTGTGGGTTGTGTGTTTTCCCTTTGCCGGTTAAAATGTTTTCTGAATGGAAAACCAAGGGGGCCGGGTCCATGGGGTCCTGCCGGGACGGTCAGCACTAACGCGATGGGGCATCGAGAGCCTGTCTGAACGCAGGGGAGAAGTTCTCTTCAAAATGCCCATTGGAGCTTGTAGCCAGTTTCTGTTGGCATCTGACATCTTGAAGCGTCTCCCAGCGGGCAGTTTTCTCCTCCGTTTCCTTTTCAAGCAAAGCTCTCTTTGTGTTTCGGGGTATTTTTGTCAAGGGGGGACTCTTGGCCGGGCCAGGTGCAGAGGTCCCAGCTTCACGGGAGGCTTCGGAGCCAGGCTGGCTTTCCTGGCCTCCTCCTTCCACAACAGCGGATTAACTTCTGCCTGCTGGGGTTTGCATATGGTTTCTAAAGTATTCAGTTTATGCCTCTGCCTTTTCTTTCCTTGTTTTTTGAGGCATACAAGGGTTTAAAGCAGTTATTCAATAAACGATGTTGTACATTTGGCTTTCTTCCTTAGAAATGCCAGGACTGTTGGGCTTGGGCCTCTCTGCTGTTACTAAGGAGATCTTGGCCGTAAGGTTTAAAACAGTTATTCAATAAAAGGTGTTATATATTTGTGTTTTTTTCTTAGAAATTCTAGGACTGTTGGGCTTGGGCCTATCTGCTGTTACTAAGGAGATCTTGGCCGTGGCAAGTCATAGGCAGGAATTTGACTTCTTAGATTATTCTATTCCAACTATTTAATTACGTCTTCATAGTTTAATAGCCAAATCAGAACCAAACTAATTTGAACAACCCGCCTTTAGAATTGTCTCTCCCTATTTTTTAACTTTTCATCTCTCCGATACCAGAATTTTGCGAGGGCTTCATCTACATATGAGAAAAAAAAACCCCAGAAATTTCTGTGAGCTTCAGATCGTTCATTGACCTCGTCTAAAGGAATTAGATGGGAGTTTTGGCAACCTTGAGTGCTGTAGATGACCCTGCTTCGGCAGGAGGGTTGGACAAGATGACCCACAGAGGTCCCTTCCAACCCCTACCATTCTGTGATTCTGTGATTCTGTGTTTGTGCCCGCGTGCACCCAAAATCACCAATTTTGTGGTTGTAACGCTTGCGTGAAGGATGAACCGTCGTCCCCCTCTGCTGGTGATGCCCCGGGCTGGGGACGTGCTCGCGCTGCCAGCCGGCCGAGTCACTCTGCGGCTGAAGGTCAGCCTTGTGAGAAGGTGGCCGGTTTGTGTGTGCGCATGGGTCAGGATGTTCAGTGACCTTTGCAGTGGGGAGTGCTCAGAAGGCTGTAACGCGTCAGCTTTTGAGGTGTGGAGTTACCAAGCGGGGTCTCGAGAAGAGCTGTCCTACCTCCTCCTAAATGTTTTGCGGCGTGCGTCACGAAAGACTGTTCCCACCATGAGAACCAGAAATCGGGTGAAGAAAAATATACGCTCTCAGAAAAGCAAATGCTGTCCTGTCAGTCAGAGACTGTTGTCCTGTGTCGTGTCCCCTGGAGCGGGGCTGCTGGGGGAGGTTGGGGATGAGTGTTGGGAAGTGCCGCGAGGATGCGGAGCTTGTCGTGCAGGAAGAGACCGGCGGAGCATGGCCCAAGCCAAGCGAAACGCGGTCTGAGGAAGGGGACAGCCGGTATCTGCGAGTTCATCAGGGAAACGCGAGGGAGGGAGATTCGACTGCGGAAGGTACACAGGTGGTCTGCTGAGGCTCTGAAACCCTTTAAGCGGCGAAGGATAAAAATCCCCTTCGAATTTCGAAGATGGAGCGCGAGGGCTGCGTAATGCTTGGGGTGGACCTGCTGGAGAGCAGCTCTGCGGAGAGGGACCTGGGTGTCCTGGTGGACGACAGGTTAACCATGAGCCAGCAGTGTGCCCTGGCTGCCAAGAAAGCCAATGGGATCCTGGGGTGCATCAAGAAGAGTGTGGCTAGCAGGAGGAGGGAGGTTCTCCTTCCCCTCTACACTGCCCTGGTGAGGCCTCATCTGGAGTACT